AAAAAGGTGATAGACATCCATAAGGACCACGTCGCACCACATGTAATCCTGTAACTAGCCCCTACTCGAAAACTCTATTAAGCATCTCCAGTCGATGTTGACCCAATTCTCCTTCTTTAGTCATGTCAGTGAATACGACTGAGAATGTCTCTGAGTCATGAGGCCAAATTATCAACCATCTGCATAGACACTGCATTCTTACTGCTCCCTCCATCTATGATGAGACTACATACCTTCCCATTTGCGTTGCACCAGAAGTAGAATATATTGTAACGAAACCACTGAGAATCTCTCTTATCAATATCAGTCTTTAGGACCCTTCAAACTACGAGCATTCTAACTTCATCTGGTGGAAGATGATATACCTCCCCTGGTCCTCAGTCATCTCTTCGTTGCTAACTTACTCTACGGTGCTCTGATCTGTGAGAGTGACTACTCGACTCGTGGGACAGCTGGAGGCTATGTGGTCATGGTTGTAGCCGTGGCACCTGAAACACTTCCTAACTGATACTTCGAGAGGCGGTCATGGTAGTTGTAGGTAACTACTTCGTTGAAGGCTATTGTCGGAAGGGTGCTGCTGCCTGCTTTGTTCTTGTTGTCTTTCTATCCTCAAGGCTGGAGTATAAACATCTCCAAGTGACGAATAAGACTGCAACTACACCACGTTACTAATAGCAGGCTTCCGACCCCCAGATAAAGGGCTATGGTATACTCCTCTGGCTTAGACCAAATCAAACCTCATATGTAACTGATCAAACTATTGTGAGAGCTCCGCTATTGACAGATCCTTCTGCTGCAAGTGGTGGAGCCTCAGAAACATATCCTGACGATAATATTGTGGGAGGTATTTCCTTTGCATCGCTTTATTCATCATTTCCCATATGATAATCTTATCTCTTCCTTCCATTTTCTCTGTCTTTGTAAGTTTTCTCACCACAAAGAGACATTTTTCTTCAACTTGATAGCAACTAATTTGACCCACCTATCTTCTGACACATCCTTATACTTGAAGATATGTTCAACAAATATGAGCCAATCAATAAAGTCGTCTGGATTTATACCTCCATCAAACTCGCAAAGATCTACTTTGTGCCAAAGTCTCTATGCCCGCCAAATAATATCTCATTTCTGAAATTCTTTTTATGGAAGGGATTCAAATACAATTCTCTAAGCCTCCGATACTAGATTCTGAATGTCGTGGCCTATTTTTTCATCGTAAATTCTCCCCATGAAAGGGATTCAAATCCTCCTCTCTTTCTCCCCTTTAACCTTCAGATCTCATCGCGGGTAACCTCCCCCTAAGTCATCTCATCAATCTTAGGAAGCCTCTGTTGAACGCGACTGAGCTCTCCCCATATCTCTTCCGGGTGAGTTCGAGCATATATCTTCTTGGTGGCATGATCAGGGTTTGAAATTTGTGGAATTGAAAAAGTGATTTGGTGGTAAGAAATAATTTTTTTTTATTTCTGTCAGATGCTAGGAAAACCTATGATAAGACTTAGGTTAGGCTAGCTCTGATACTAAATGATACCACATTAGTTCAGAAGTCACACTTTTATTGAGCAAATAATTGGGGGTTACAACACGACACAAACTGGAAAGGAAAATACAAATACACTAAACTCCGGCTAAGGCCAAAAGATAAGATCCGAGGGCGATGGTTGCATCCACAAAGTGGTAAGGGGTGGGAAAGGCCTGGTGGTTGTATGGTCTGTTAAAAGGGGCTTTGTTGGGTTGTAAGTGGGCTAGACAATAATGATTGTTAAAGGGGAAGGGATGGCAGGGTGCGGGTAGATGGCCGGGAGGACTAGACACAAAGGTTGTTGTCGGGAAGGAAAAGATGAGGTGTTGGGAGGTGGATTGGTGGCTAGACAACAAAGTTGCGACAATAACAAGGGTTGACCAACCCACAAGAAGGTCCAGGGGTGGACGACTGTTAAGGGGTAGGAGGAGTAGGGCAGAAGATATGGAAGGATACAACACCACCTCGAAGCAGGATATAACTAAAGCACCACCTGTCGTCGGATACAACCCTAGCAAGGGAGAAGGAGACTCTAAGGAGAACTCTGAAAACAACAAGAAAGTAAAAACTAATTGCTAGAATGTAAAATAGGAAGAGGAAACCCTCCTCTTTGGGCGGCAATCAAAAAAGGCAAGGAGAAGGAGCGAGCGACAATAAAAAGGGGAAAGGGACAGTAAAACCTGCCCCATGCTTTAGTCGGTCGGTCCCGTTGAGACCTGGGCTAGGACTTAAGGGAACCGGTAGAACCTGTTCCTTTTGCTGAACCAACTGGCTCCTTAGCCGCCCATCATATACCCCAAATAATTTGAATTCATAATAAAATCATAAATGGAAAACTTGATGAAGATTTCTATAAATAATTATAAATTTGAAACAAGCACCATCAAGTGTATTTGATTTTGCAAGTGATGGGACTTATTTAGCATATTTTGACAATCAAACACTCTGCAGATGATTATGTTTCAGCAAACATAGCTATCATGAAGGCATATAACTTTGACAGCTACTCATTGGGCAAAGACTCTTTTGAAAAAAGATTGAGTCTGATTCAAAACAACCATAACTTTTATATAACATAATTTATCTGACTTTAAGAACCAGAAGAAAATCCTCTTATTGGAAGTTTGTCCGGATAGATGTAGATGTTACAGGGCACATTTAGGTAGACAACCTCAAGAAAGGTGGCCGTCACATCTAATCAGGGAGCTTAGAATTTACTAAGTGAGAACAGACGGTCAAACAGTAGAAAACAAATTATATAACTAACTAATACAAATAATCATCTAAACTAAATGAAAGAGCAACAAAAGATAAAAAAATTAAAACAAACAAATATACTTTTCTCCAAGTTGATCTTGGTTTTCATCTATGTCATCTCATCTATTATTCAGTGTTACTCCAAAAAATTTAAAATGAAAATAATATTTTAAATCACAATGAGCTATAAACAATTAGTGAACATAACGAATAAGAAATCAATATGCATTTTAAATTAGCGTAAGAAAAATAGATAGCGGTATGCATTTTAAATTAGCGCAAGAAAAATAAATAGCAGTTTATCTATTTCCATTGTTGTCATTCAACAAAGTTCATAGTATTTTATCTTATTTTAAATTATCTTATCTATACCTTATTATTTTCAACCTTCATATGAGCATCACTAAATTCTACCAATTAAACTACAACAATATCAATTAATGGTACTTTAGATTCCTCAGCTAGTGTTATAACAGTCAATATATATAACTTAACAGTCAATACTTTTGAAAAACATATAATATTTACAATGTTATGACAAATATTAAAGATCATATAAATCAACATTATACTATGCAATTAATTTAACAAGTACGATGTCATCCTCGGCATCAACCTCTTCCATTGAAATATTTATTCCAGCTAAGATATACATTTACAAATTATAATTAATTGAAATATCAATTTTTTTCATTAAAATTAATTTTCTATTCATTATTTATTTATGCTTAGTTAACCTTTATTATTAAAATTTATTAACGGTATCATTTTTATTACTAATTGAAATTCATTAAATTTAATAGTTAATCTTACAACTCTTACTAAAATATATGGCTTAGGCATTAAAATTACTCTTGTTTAATTATTATTATTTGTTTTTTTTCTTATTATACAATAAATTTGTGATATTAACAAGAAATTATAATTTAAACTTCTATAATTTTAATCTTTCCAAATTCATTATTTTACTTGACATTATTATTATTTTTATAATTTATCTTTTAAATCTTCAATTTAGTAACTTATAAATAATATAAAGGTTAACTTTAATAACTTAATTCTATTTATTAATATCATTATAACTTTCATAAAACTTCATAATAAATTGATCACACTGGTTTTCATATACTATAAAAAAATAGTGATTAAAATAAACTTTAAAATGAAACCCTAACCTTGTTGTCAATAGTTCGTGCTCGATCATATCTTGGTCTCGGCTCAACATAAATCCAACCTCACTCCTTTTGATTCCTTGCATTTGCTATCCTCTGATTCCATTTCCCAGCTCACACTCTAGCTCCCTCACTATGTCGCCCAATCGTTCACTACACTTTTGCACAGATGTAGCTCCTCTGCATGACATTCAACCACTTCCATCTTGCTCCCAAGCCAACCCTTTAGCTCCACTCCAATTTCGATCATATAGCACATTGATAGCCTTTGCATCAAACTTATTCGATTATGCTCAAGCCTGCTCTCGCGGCTCTACTGCCTCAACCATTGTTTCTCGGCTCTCTAACTCGATCACTCCTCATGAAGAGAGCTCAGTTGGAGATTCCAGCTTTGACTTCGTAATTACGACATTTGAATATCACAAACAAGAAAATGATAGCATAATATGGCATAGCATTTACATTTCAAGATATGTACCTGATATATTCCATACCAAATGCTCTATATCATATTGATATTGTTAATATATCCCCAATCCCTACAAGTGAAGTGCACATGTGCGCGCAAACACACACTACGGTCATAGTGTCAGTTGTATTATTTATTTCTATCTTCCAACACTTCGGTCATAGTGTCATACCATTATATTCATAATATATCTGCTTATATGTTACTTTACAGCTAAGGCTTCAGTCACAGCATTTAGTAACACGTTTAATAAATTTCAACCTTACGAACTTTACCATAAATGTTTAGAAACTTCACAAAAAATTTTGATTGTATCATCAAACTTACCATCAATATTTCAAATGAATAGTGTCAAATAATCATCAAATTACCCTTCTGCATGCATTTCATAGATAATTTTTTTTCTTTTTGTCTTCATTAACTTTTCACAAATGATGACAGTTAGCAGTTCATGGGATGTGCTGCAATGTTACATAGACGAGCACACAAACACATCACAACTAACTTTTATAAGTTTTAGTTCCTGAATTCCTCTATTCCACCTCCAATTGAAATGCTAACTAGTTTGTTGGTATTATAGGTTGGTGACAGACATCCCAGAACCAATGGATGCAACTTTTGGTGGGTCACAATAAATTCAAGTTTATGCATTATTTTCATGATAAAACATTTAGAATATGACAGCATAGAATCCTACTAAATCTTCCAAATAGCACAAATCCGAGATATGAAAATTTTTTTAAGAAAAATTTGCACAAATCATCAACTATAAAGCATGTTAACAATCAAACTTTCCCACAATCAATGTGCGTACAGAAAGGCAATTTCTGACAACCATAATAATTACGAGATGGTGAGAAAACTGCGAAAACAGAAAAAAGAAAAATCTTCTACTAACCATAAACTATATTGAACAGTTGCGGTGAGAAAACTGCGAAAACAGAAAAAAGAATCTTCTACTAACCATAAACTATATTGAACAGTTGCAATTAGTCTGACAATATAAACTAATGACCTTCAAACATTTCCAGTAACAAAAAAGGTCTCAAACTATATTAATTTCAGTAGCCGGATAAGCATCTCCAAAGTCCAAACACTATATTTATTTCTCATTGCATATTCTTGATAATACGTGTTGATTTGATGTTCAAGTACAGATAATAAAAAAAATAAGCCAATCCAATCATTACAAATATATGAGCCCAAATTTAGAGGTGCTTTTATTAAAAATAATTTTGTATGAGTGTGCATACAAAACACATTCAAATGCTTACAGAAGAGCTTATACAGGCCAACCATAGGAATTCGTAGAACTGTACCCATCCTAATAGTGTTGCACTATGAAAGAGCTTAATTATAGAGTTCCCAAGCAAAATCCAATCGTTACGTTAAAAGGTGTCTCGATTATTATAACCTAAATTTTGAACTATATAACCCAATGTCAGTTCCTCCAATTCTAATGTGAGATTTCATTCATATCTGCATCCATTTACTCCTAGAACCTTATTAGAAGCCACTCCTTTGAGCCTCAACCCAGACGACTCCCTGCCATCATGGAACCACTCTCGTCTATTCAGGATGTAACAGGCTAACCGTCTTCAGCTTGGTTCATCCATAAACCATGCATTGTACTAAAGAAGGCTATGCTTTAATATCAGTTGTAACACAACTTAAGACATAGTCAACAAGGTACTGTTTTGTTTGGTCCCTATTCCAAACCAAGCTGAACCTCCCAATTTTGCCTCCTTTTTGCATATCTTTCTTGTAGTCACCTATATTCTAAAAACACTCCACTACAAGCATGCTTATATATTGGGCTTTCAAGGAAAATTCATCAATTACACTAAAAGGTGCATTGCATATTATGATCTAACTCTTCATTGTAGCTAGTATCCTTTCCTTCACCTCTGATGTAGGATTTGATTCATTCTTGCACCCTTTTTCTCCTTGAAGCCTTTCAGAAGCTGCTCCTTGTCCTGGTTTCAAGCTCAACAATCAATGCCTGCCTTAGTATGGTCTACGGCATTAGAAAAAACTCTTGAAAAATATCAAAACCTTTAAAAACAAAATGGCACCATCCATACTAAAAATGGTAACTGATAAGAAAATAAACTGTCGTTGTTTGCTTAAGCCCAAAAAAAGAGAATATATGTTAAAAAAAGAACTTTTTATTAAATCTAATAAATCTGACTCCCAGGGAATCATGAAAAAACATAATCCTGATAAAAAATCATTTGTAGCATGGATTTACATATTTTTATTTTGCTTTGAACTCATAATAGATATGTTACAAGATATTTGCTTTCGAATGACAAGATATTGCAGTTATTACATATGTTTCACCATTGTACACTAATATGTAATAACACATGTAAAATCCAAACAAAGTCCATTTCCACAAGCTCTATAGTGCAAAACACAATACAAGCATACTGCCATCTAAAGGATGCATTTATTTAACCTTTTCGCTAGACCATATGCAGGTAACTGACAGTTAAATTAAACAAGTTGAAAATAAAAGATATACAAGTCCCAGCTTTCTCCCTCTAATAAGGTACTTTTCATTTATGATGTTTTTGCACAATCAAAAGGAAAATTACCATCAAATATTAGAAGCAACCAAAGAGGCATTCATACTTTCTTGCAAATTGAGACAACCCCTAGTCCATGTCAAATCTCATTTATCTTATTACAATCCTAATTTCTAATGTGCATCAGGTGAAAAGGATTTCATATATCAACTTTTCATACTCAAAATTTTCATCTAAGTCTGACTCCATATCATAAATATTTCAGGAAATGAAGTAGTCCATTATGAAAGCCCACAACCACAAGCTGGAATTCATCGAATTGCTTTCGTATTGTTTAGACAGGAAATTCAGCAAACTGTTTATGCACCAGGATGGCGTCAAAATTTCAATACAAGGGATTTTGCAGCAGTTTACAATCTTGGATCGCCTGTTGCAGCAGTGTATTTCAATTGTCAGAGAGAACATGGTTGTGGTGGCAGAAGGTAAACAGGCTTTTTTTCCAGTTCACTGTTCTCAGTTCTCACTGTGTCTAATATGAATATTCAAGATGTCAAATTAATTCAGTTTCTTAAATGGGTCAACTATAAAGAGAAAATCGTCAAAATAGTTCCCCAAGTCTTTGCAGGAGGGGAATTTTAGTCGCAAAGTCTATAAAGTGCAATTTAGTTCTTAGATTCATTTAATATGAGCTGAAATAGTCTCTATGGAGGACTATTTTTAGCCCCAATTTAAAGTGTCAGGGGATTAATTTAACACTTTTATAGACTTTGATGCTTAAGTGACCAACTATAAATGCAAGCATTGTAATGCAATCTAAACATACTTTAAGTTGATACAGCATGCTGGCATACTCTAATCCTGCATTATGCATTTAATAATTTTGCCATAAATTTAAGCATTAATGTCCAGACAAACAAATGAAATGATGTCTTCGTAATTTCTCATATGTTCCTTCCATGCACGCACATAGCAACAATACATGCCATATGACAAAAACTCTTTTTGCATCTTAGTTCTAGAGTTCTTTTGATAGTTTTCTTTTTATTATAAGGGTTCCCACTGCAGATGGACCATGTCAAATAATACCCTAAAGACAACTAAAAATGGTGGTCAACAGGTTATTTCCTCAGAGTTTCTTCTGAGAAAAGGAGAGAAAGATCTTACAGAACTAATCATGTAGAAATACATTTCTATTAAGTCTTATAATCTTCAGTTATTCATCAAATATTTTTTTCATGATACACATCAACAGATTCATCCATATGCACTATTGAAGACCCATGCATCACAACATACAGTAAATTCTTCAAAATTTTAATATACATTTTCTAATGGAAGGTTCCACGGAGCAAACTGATTCCATCAGTAATACATAAAAAAATATCAGCAGTTCAGAGTTCAAATATTCAACTGAATGCTGAAGAAGAGTGCGATACAAGAGCTGAGCATCAAGAATTATATAACTATTTCTTCTCTGGCTTATCAAGGAATATCCATTTTTGTCTTTTCCCCAATTTACGGACAAGGAAATCACAGGTTCAGCAATATTTGAAAAGTTCTCCTATTTATGCTTTAAGCTAAAAATAATTGAACTTTTCAAATTTTATAGAATCAGTGATTTCCCGTTTCCATTATGTAGAAACTGAAGTGAATGTAATCCTGTTCAAAAATAGTAGAGCCATTTGACCAAAGCATGTTTCATATTTACTGTTTAATCTCCCATTTTCATCTAGTGATTATTATAAACCTTTACCGAATTAGTTATCTAGAAAGTCATTCATACATGGTGATTGAAATTTCTCCAATTTACAAAATACCGTTTGTTGGGCATACAAATATATAAACTGAAAGACATCCCCTCCGTAAGGTACAACATTCCCCTCCGTAAGTTACAGCATGGTATCAACTTTAATTTCTCAAATTATTAAGGGAAGATAAGAGTTTCATGTCTCAAAAAAACTCAGGAAGCCAAGAAAAGGGAACTAAAGAATGCATGATTAGGATCTTTGCAATCTTAAAAAACGAGAAATTTCACAAATTGCATATTAAATTTTGAGGAAATTACAAAGCAAAAACTAAAAAGCTATGTGGAACCGACAAATTCTATAAACAATAGAAACAATGAACAAACTGAACAAGGTATATACCACATATGCAACTATCAAGCTTCAAATCAGTAAGTAAATAATCTAGATGAAAGTACTTTCACAAAAAAGTTTACTTTGGAATAAAAATATGGATCTTGAGATGTAGCATAAAGCATTAAGCTTAGCAAATCAATAAGCATTTAAAGCACCCAAATGTAGGGGTGCTCTCTGTTCGCTAACAGCTCATGTTCGGTTCGCTAAGTAGCACGTGTTCGATCTGTTCATTAACCAAACGAGCCGAACACGAACATATTTTATGAGCTTGATTTATAAACGAGCCGATCACAAACAAACTTTTATTCGATCATGTTTAGCTTATTTTGGCTCGAATTAATTAAATAATAAATAAATAATATACAAAAGTTAAAAAAAGATTATGAAATTTTTTTTATATAAATGCACAAAAGAATAGTTAGATGTTAGATGTGTAAATACATAAGAATTGAGTGGTAAGTTTGTAAATACCGGTCAAATTTTGAAAAAAAAAATTTAGATGTTTAATATGTAAATACATAAGAATTGGGTGGTATGTATGTAAATGCCCCATTTTCCCCCAAAAATCCTACACACGGTTGCTGCCAAAGAAGCATTACCAATGTAAATACATAAGAATTTGGTGATATTTATGAAAATGCCCCTAATAGTCGCCGAATTTTTCCCTCAGGTCCTCGCACGGTGCGCTACGTCCGCTATCCAAGCAAAAAACGCCATCTGGTCTTGCGGGACCCATATTTACACGTCATGAATAAGGAAAAATTTCGCGTTAAGCCCGGCCCAACCCGACGTGCTAAATGTTACGTATTATTCCGCCTTTTTGGCGTATTCCCGCCTATTTTTGGCGTATTATTCCCTCAGAAACTTCTATTCTGCATTATTCAGTAGAAAAGA